TTGGATGGGATTTAAGCTCTTTTCCCACCCAAACCATTCCATGATTCCCGTTCGGTGTCGTCCCGGCTCGGAGCTCGGTCCCTGCTGTGGTGTCCTGTCCCAGGCTCTGACATTTCCCAGACAAAGCAAGAGGAAGGTGAGGATGTCCCTGATATCTCCAGGCCATTGTTTTCCTCCATCTTGGCATTTCCTTCCGAGCATTTCCAGCATTTCCTTTGGAAAGGTCACTCAGGAGCTCCACAGCCTTTCCTAGAATCCCAGAACGATTGGGGTGGGATGGGAGCTCCAGTCCCATCCAAAGCCACCCCCCTGCCGTGGATGGGGACATTTTCCAGAAACCAGGTTGCTCCAAGTCTTTCCCAGCCTGGATCCCATCCCAGGCTGACAAACTGAGGTTTGCAGAGGTGAGTTGTTATTCCTGATCCTGCTGCAGGAGCTTCCCTGCTCCTGCACGTCCTGGAGATACCTGCAGAGGTGAAAACTCATCCTATGGGAATTCTGGTGTTTTTTTTTTTCCTTCCTCTGGGACATTCCTGATCCGTGGAATTAAGGTTGGTGGTGTTTCAGATCTGCTCTGCTGATCCGTTCCTGGTTGTGCTGGTGATGGGTGGCTTTGACAGTTCCTTCTCCAAATGCTTCCCACAGGGAATTTTTGTCCTCCAGTGTTGGGAATTCTGGAAAACTGAAAGGCAGGAGGTGGCTCAGGGAATGTTGGTTCCCATTTGTTTGGAAACCCTCTGGAACAAACTTGGAAATCCATTGAAATTCGATTTGATTTAATTTGTGGAGGGAGGAGGAATATTGGGTGAGAGACCGGAATTTTGGGAATGCTGTCTGGTGGGAATCTGGTTATTGTTTGCTTGGAGAGGATGAATTCATGTTTCTCCTGAGCCATGAGCAGTTTGTACTCTGTTCAAATTAAAGAATTCCTTGAAAAAAACCTCGCACTCAGATGGGAACAAACTCCAGGAATTGTGCTGGAAAATCTTCACCTCTGTTTGGTCATTCCCTTGTACGGTTTATTCCTTGAGCTGTGATCTCTGTGAACCTCTGATCATGGAAAAAAAAAAATTCCATTTGGACTCAACTTCCATGAGCTTGGGAAGCCAAACCCCCGTGACGGCGTCGGTGGGACGAGAACCTCGGCGCAGCGGGAATTCCGCGCAGAGCTTCGGGAAAGCTCCTGGAAAACCTCGTGTGCACCTGCAGGAAGAGTCCAGAAGTTCCAGGAGACAACAGATGGACACAAGGGGGAAATGAGGAATTCCCGGGTTTGGAGTTTTCCTGGCTTGGGTTGGGATTTTTTTTTTTTTTTTTTTTTTTTTTTTTCCGTGTTTGGGGTTGGGAACAGGGACGGAGCTGATGTTGTGGCCGCTGCTTTGTCCTCGCCCTAAATCCAGAATTCCCGCCCGGTCCCCGAGGAGCTGCACAAGGACTTTGTCACTCTTGGATGTTTTCCTGGTCCCGAGCTCCATCCCTGGCCTGGGGGCTTGGAGCAGCCTAGGATAACGGGAGGTGTGGAATGGGATGGGCTTTAAGGTCCCTTCCAGCCCGAAGCCCTGTGTGATTCTCTCTCTCTTTCATTTTCCTCTCCCTCTATTTGTACCTTCTTCTCCCACCTCTCATCCCCCAAATTTTCAGCGATTTCCCCCAAACCAAGCCCCTCTTCCCTTGACCACGCTGCTTTTTTTGTACCTAGATTTTTTTTTTTGTTTGTTCCTGTACGATTTTACTCCTCTCTGTTTCCAACCCTTCCCGTTTAAGCTCTTGAAGAGATCGGATATTTTTCTACCCACAGAATTGCAGCCTCATCCCACCCTGTGAATTCTTGCAGGGTTTGCTCTTCACCCATGAGAGATCCATGGGAGTGTCCTCCTGGAAACCGCTCCGGCCTCGGCTCAGCTCCACCCAGTTGAAACTGGTTGGAGTTCTCCACCTAAATGGTTTCACTTCCAACTCATCCCTCGTCAAGGACGGGGGGGGTTTCACGCTTTGCCTCACTGCTCCTGAAAGAATTAATTGTAATTAAACCCAAACTCTGTTGTCACCAAGAAGTGAAATGCCAGGTTTTAAGCGATGCTGTCGCAACTGTCACCACCGGTTGTGTTCCCTGTGACGTCCATCTTGTTGGGTTGAGCTTTTTAATCACCTGTTCCATTGATTAATCACCTGTTCTCTATATTTAAGCTTTTAAACAGCGCGAGAAAACCATGGTTTTTTTGGTGTGTATTTTGAGTGCTTTAAACAGCGATGCAAATCCCGCTTTTGTGCCTCCTCGGGTTGCTTTTGTCCCCGTCCTAGAAGCCGCTGTGAGCAGATGCCAAAGATGACCCATCTAATCCTTGTCTTTTAACTTGCAGCTTTGTGTTGTTCTTGGAAAGTTTCGCACCACTTGTGAATTCCCTGAACCTTGGCCTTGCCAGCCCCTTTGTGTTGGGCCCTCCTCCTTTTCAGCTTGCCCAAATTAAGACCCACTTGGCTCTCCAGCACTTGGCTGCCAGCGGCGGGCGGGCGCTTCCCCACGCTGGCGTCCGCCAGGCATTGCTGAAAGACGCAATGTTTAGCCCCAGAGGAACCTTGCCCCCGAGGCCCAGAGGACCCAACCCGTCGGGCACCAAAGCCCCGGGAGCTTTCGGGGCCGGAGGCGCGGCGGGGCCGCCCAGGAAAGCCGCGCCCGCATCGCCCCAAGGAGCGCCCCAAAGATTTTCGGGGCAGGACGCGCTGCAGTGGACGGGTTCGCAGAGGATCAACGTCCGGGTCACGCTGCACAGGGCCGATCCCAGGAAGGTCAAGGAGAAGAGCAACCTGCACCAGGAGCAGAAGGGAGACCCGCGTGCCAATCGCTGGGACAGCGGCGCCGGCACGGCCGGGCCGAAACCGCCCGGCCCGGCGCCGGTCTTGGAGCAGAATTCCAACCCCCAGAACCGTTACACGCCCGAAAGCGCCTCCAGCATTTTAGCGAGCTTTGGGTTGTCCAACGAAGACCTGGAAGAGCTGAGCCGCTACCCCGATGACCAGCTGACACCCGAGAACATGCCCAGGATCCTGCGGGAGATCCGCATCCGGAAGCTGGGCCACGCCGTGCCCGGCCTGCACGCTGCGAACCGGGGAGAGGAGCCGGCGGGCGACGGCAGCGGCGGCGCCGTCAAGGGCAAAGTCATCGACTACGGCCACGCCAGCAAGTACGGCTACACCGAGGACCCGCTGGAGATCCGCACCTACAACGCCGAGGCGCTGCCCGAGGAGCCGCTGGAAGCGCGCGTCTACAACCCCGAAAGCTCGAGCGCGGAGAACCGGGAAGAATTCCAGCGGGAGCAGAACGTGCCGGTGGCCGTCCCGCCGCCGCCGCCCAGCGTGCCGTGCAACCCCGTGTTCCCGGCCGAAGACGTCATCAAGCTGCCGGCGTTCCCCGCCGACTCCTCGCCGGCTCCGCCGTTTTTCCCGGCCGAGCCGCCGGCCAAGGTGCCGGGGCTGTGCGGCGCCTCCGCGCCCGCCGCGCTGCCGGTGGTGAAGCCGGTGTCCCAGCCGCCCATGCCGCCGGTGCTGCCGCCCATGCTGCCGGCGCTGCTGCCCTCGCCCATGCCGCAGCCCATGCTGCCCCCGGTGATGCCGCCGCTGGTGCAGCCACCCGTGAGCCAGCACGTGTTGCCGCCCATGACGTCTCCTCCCTTCTCGGCCGGGCTCTTGGCCGCCATCAGCCAACACGAGCAGAAGCAGCGCGACGCCGGCAACTCCCACTCCGGACCCGGCTCCGCCGGCGGGACCTCGGCGGGACACAAAACCTTCCACAAAACTTTCCACTCGCCCGTAGAGGAACCCATCAAATCCCCGTTCGGGGTGGTGAAGGCGTCCTGGCTGCCCGTGTTCCCCGATTCCCAGAAGAACAAACGCCTGCCCACCCCGTCCATGATGAACGACTACTATGCCACGTCGCCACGAATATTCCCACATTTGTGTTCTCTGTGTAACCTTGAATGCACTCATATGAAGGTGAGTGGCTTTCCCAGATTATTCCCTAAGCGTGTGTACTCGGCACCTTTTCCTGCCACTGCTTGTTTTCCTTGGGAATTCTGTGGATTGGGGATGCTGGTCGCCAAGTTTTGAGTGTTGGGAATGGTGTTAGAAATGATTGTAACGGCGTGTTCTGCTGCCAGTTGCATTTCTGAGTTGCTTTCTTTTTAATTCTTTTCTTTGAATATTGAAACGGTTTCTGATTTTTGCAGCAAAAAAAACAAACCTCGAGCAGCGGAGTGAAATGTTAATGTCGTGTGTGGGGGACTCAAATCGTGTTTTGGGGTGGGGGAGATGTCTGTGTGTTCAATTCCCTCCCCTTCCTCCTCCTCCTTCTCCTCCTCCTCCTCCTCCAAACTCTGTCTGAACACAAAAGAGCCCATTTAGAACCCGAAATTTCATCTTCCAAATCCGCTCTATGTGACAACGCTGAATATTCCAGGGGCTGGCTCGGAAAATGCGTCCATTCATCCCGCCGGGCTCTCGGCCTTGGAGGAAATCACAGCTTCAGCTTTGAAGGCAAAAATAAAGGGGAAAAAATGGTGGATGTTGTGAGAGAAAAAATGTTTTGGAAGCTGTGGGTTTTCCTGGAAAAACCCAAGGTTTGATCTGTCAAAAATATGATACTAAAAAATACAGGGTAATTAATTCATAATTATTTAATATGTTTGAATTGCAAAGTGTGGAGAGGCTGTGGGGGAGGGATTTTTGTAATTTGAGATTTGAGACTCTTGTTTGTGCTGTGAATTAAAAATCTGACTGAAAATGGGGACGGCTTTGTTAGGGGGAAAAACAAACAGAAATTCCCAAACCCTTTTCCCCAGGAAGTGCTGAGGGCCAGGGAGTTGGGCAGCTGGAAATGAGAAAGGAAGGATGATTTCAAATAAAAATGGAAACAGAAAAGTAAATTTAAAATAAAAAGGGAAACAGAACTCAGGGGGGTATTAACAAAGGGAAAAGGAATGAATTTAAATGGGAATTGTTTGCTCGTTTAAGGAGGGAAATGTCACCAAAAATCTGTTGGCAGATGAGCTGTGGCTGAGGGTTTTGGGGTGGATTCAAGGCTGTGAGATCTTGTCCTGGTGGCACTAGGGGTGGGATTTGTTCCCAGGAATCCCGATCCGACTGCGGCCTCCCAAACCCGCTCCTGTCTGTCCTGGATTCGCTTCCTTTGGGAAGGGTTTGCTCTTTGTCTCCCAAGGACACAGGAGACCTCACAGGACCAGCCCTGCTGCAGGAGAACCAGAAGATTGATCCCAAAAAATAAAGCTGTGATGACGGAATATCCATGAATTCCAGAGATCCAAGAATTCCTCTCAAGCTGTGATGAAGGAATATCCAGGAATTCCAGAGATCCAAGAATTCCTCTCAAGCTGTGATGAAGGAATATCCAGGAATTCCAGAGATCCAAGGATTCCTCTCAATTCCAGCTCTGCAGTTCGGCAAATCCGATGGGTTTGGGGTGCTTGGAGGTGACCTGGACATTCCAAGTTTGTCCTCCCAGCCATTCCCTGTCCCCTTCTGGATGGGACCTCGGGTTGGAAGAGCCACCAGATCCGGTGATTCCCAAGGACTTGAGACATTTGATGCTGTCCCATGTGGCATCGCTGTTCCCAGACTGGAGAAACGTGGATGTCATGGAACGAGCACTCAGGGCTGGAGAAATGGATTTCATGGATGGAGAAATGGATGTCATGGCTGGAGCACTCAGGGCTGGGTGGTGGCACTTGGAGTTGTCCCCAGCCCCGTGTCTGGGCGGGAGCAGCCACCCCGGGATTGGCGTGGGCGCCGTTCGGCGTCTCCGGCGGTGACGGGGACGCCGGGATCGGTCGCCGCGGTGCGCTGGAGGTGACGCCGAGCTCTGCTCTGGGATCACACCTGGAGAGGTGGGACCATCCCAGCCTGGAGCCGAGGGCAGCAGCTCCCGGGGCAGGACAATCCCAGCAGAGACCCAGGATGGGAGGAGAAGGATTTGGGGTGTCATGGATGAGACGCCCCCCAAATGTCCCAGACAGATCCCTGGGCTGATCCCACGGCGTGGGCAGTGGGAAAGGTGGGAATTCTGCTCAGGTGAGACCTCACCTGCAGAGCTGCCTCCAGTTTGGGGCAACGTCAGGAGGACCTGGAGCTGCTGGAGCAAATCCAGAGGAGACCCCAGAGCTACTCCCAGGATTCTGGAGCCAGGCTGGGAATGCTGGGAATGTTCCCCTGGAGAAGGGAAAATTCCAGGGAATGCTCAGAGTCCCTGCAGGGGCTCCAGGAGAGCTGGAATTGGGGACAAGGCCTGGAGGGACAGGACCCAGGGAATGGCTCCCACTGGGAAAGGGGAGATTGGGCTGGGATCTTGGGAAGGAATT